TTTCCTAACCACCAGCACTAGATTTATTTTGTACTTCCTAAAAAAACTGCTATCCAAGCACAGCACCTATCGCATCCACTGATTTTCTAACATTGCAGTCTAAAGAAAAGCTTAAATCCGGGGCTGATAATATTCCATAATTTTTCAATATTGATATGTTGTGCTATCTTCATTTTACAAGGGAGCGGTGCTAAGTGAATGTGGTAAGTCAAAAGGAAACATATTATCAGATGGCTTCGAACGTTGATTCTTCTAGCTTCCATGGAAGCTTTTCTGCGGATGAAGCAACAAAAGTTTTCCTTTTCCAAAAATACCTGCATGGCCTACCAATAGTTGCTTAAATTCTCAAAAGCGTAAAATATAAACGCAAGGGTCACTATTTTATTATAAGTGGTCTACATCTATATGCAGCTTTTGCGTTGCTGTTGAATCAAATTTGCACTATTAAGCAATTTTCACAGTTCTATCAGCCATTAATGGCAGAAAAAAATACCGATAACCTCTTCCAAATAAATCTTAAATAAGCTTTGGTGTTACGTCCATTACCATCAATCACTTTTTGAATCGTCATATTGACTAATCCTTTTATTGTGTTTTTTTTTTAATTCAAATTACGCCACATTCTCTTATGCTGAACGTTGTGCTTTTGAGGATAGGGAACTAGTTTATCATAGTCGTAATTCTCACACAATCAAAATATGTAATTTTCATGCACTTTATTGTCCTGGAACCTTAAAATGAGCTATGATTCCCAATACCGTTATTTTTTACTTCATTAAACCTTCATTTCAGAGATTTAAACTTGAACCTGTACCAAAAAAAGAATACGGAGAATTTTACATCGGCGATGCTTACGTGTGTATGAATGTGAGTAACTTTGTGTTATCCATGACTCATCTTCTATACAATTTGTCAGAGCATCAGTCATCTGCAATTCAGACAAAATATCAGCAGTGGGATATTCACTTTTGGATAGGAGAGGGTGCAACGCCAGATGAAATTGGCGCAGCCGCCATCACCGCAGTACAAATTGATCAAGCCTTGGGGGGTTTTCCGGTGCAGCACAGAGAAGTGCAAAACCATGAATCGTCACTGTTTCTT